GCTCGCCGTCCCCTGCTGGGCCCCGCGGGGCGCGGCGGGGTCGGCCTCGCCCCTGCTGCCAGCGCTGTCACGCTGGGCCAGGTCCTTGCCGTCGGTCACGCCGTCGGAGCCCCCCGCCAGGCCTGCGCTCCCAGCTGCCGCCGCGAGCGCCGCCGCCGACAGCACCGTGGCCCCGCGCGGAGGCGGCTCGCCTCCGCTGCTGTCGCCGTCCTGGTCGTCGTGCTCCATGCTCAGGCTCGTGTCGACTCTCCTGTCGGGCTCGGGCACTGGCTGCCCGCGCGGCTGGGTGCGGCGGCGCTTGGCGGCACGCACCATGCCGTGCTGCTCCTCGTGCCTGGGGGCCCTCGTCAGCACCTGCTTGCCCGTGGAGTCCCTCTGGCTCCCGTTGGCAAGCACGCACACCTGGGCCACCCAGCCAGCCATGCGGCCCACCGCCCCTTGCTGGGAGGCGAAGCGCTCCTCCTCGGCCTGCGAGTTGCAGGGGTGGCAGGCCGCTCCCAGCTTGGCGTGTCGGCGGCGTGATTGCCAAGGGCGAGCCGCCGCTCCACCGAGCCGTACGCGAGCTGGGTGATGTCTTGGTGGGCCTTGACCTTGCGGAACTGGAGCTGATCCTGCCCGATGTCCATGATCATACGCCAGATCCTTCTCCACTGCTCGGCGTAGGCCTTGCCAGGCGCGCAGCACACGGCAGGCCCCGCGGCGATGAAGAAAGGAGGAGGAGAAGGAGAAAGGAGGAGGAGGAGGAAGGAGCCGCAAGAGCTTCGTCACTCATGTTGGCTGGTTGGCCGAACAGAGGGGGAGGAGGAGGAGGAGGAGGAGGAGGAGGAGGAGGGAGGAGGAGGAGGAGGAGGGGAGGGGGAGAGGAGGAGGAGGAGGAGGAGGAGGAGAGGGGAGGAGGAGGAGGGAGGAGGAGGAGGAGGAGGAGGAGGAGGAGGAGGAGGAGGAGGACGAGGAGGCTGAGGAGGACGAGGAGGGGGAGGAGAAATGAGGAGGAGGAGGAGAAAGCAGGAGGAGGGAGGAGGAGTAGGAGTAGGAGTGGGAGTGGGAGTAGGAGTAGGAGTCAAGCTAGCCAGCTCGAGCGAGTCAAGCATGGCATGCCCAGTCCCACCCGCCCTCCCACAACATAAGAAGCAAAGCTGGCACAACTGGGGGCCGAAGTCACACCGGCCAGCCGGTTTGGTACAGCTGATGCGGCCGCGATGGCGGTTGCCGACGGGAACTGGCGAGCGCGTGTTGAATGCCGCGCACGCATTGCCAGACGAGTCGAGAATGGCCCGGTACACCGCAGGAAGCCAGAGGTGGCCGGAGGAAGCCCGACGGTCTGACAGGACACCCCAAAGCATTTTTGTGAAAAAGCATTGGGTTTTTGATGTTTTGTATGTTGAAATGCTTGCAAACACACGGTGTTCGGTAGGATTCTGACATGAACGCGCGAGTGTGCTCTTTGTGGTATTTTTTGCACAGGATTCGCGGCCTGGGTGCATGACAGAGCATCGCGAGTGCACCGCGCGATGACGTGAAATCGCTGGATTTGACCGAATTCTTAAGATTCCTATGGTTTTCCTATGATTTCAGCAAGAGAGCCCGGGCGGGAAATTTGTACAATTTTTGTGAAAAAGCATTGGGTTTTTGATGTTTTTATGTTGAAATGCTTGCAAACACACGGTGTTCGGTAGGATTCTGACATGAACGCGCGCGTGTGCTCTTTGTGGTATTTTTTGCAATGGATTATCGCCGTGGACGACAGGACGTCCATGTCGAGAGGAAAAAATAAGAAAAATGTTGATTTTGTATTGTTTTTTACAGGTTAGGATGGGACCCCCCGGATGCGGCCCCTAATGGCCGGCCTGAGGGGGGAGTAGGAGTATATTCTAATAGGAATAAGGATAGGAGGGAGGAGGAGGAGGAGAAGAAAGGAGGAGGAGAGGAGGAGGAGGAGGAGGAGGAGGAGGAGGAGGAGGAGGAGGAGGAGGAGGAGGAGAAGGAGAAAGGAGGAGGAGGAGGAAGGAGCCGCAAGAGCTTCGTCACTCATGTTGGCTGGTTGGCCGAACAGAGGGGGAGGAGGAGGAGGAGGAGGAGGAGGAGGAGGAGGAGGAGGAGGAGGAGGAGGAGGAGGAGGAGGAGGAGGAGGAGGAGAAGGGCTTGGATGTTCAGGTCGGGAGCTTTTGCTTAGCGTGTCGCGGCGGCGGCCACTGCGACACGCTGTGCCTTGCAAGCGGATGGCGTGTCGCTCCGCTCCGCGGGGCGGCAAGCTGGGAACAGCTCGAGACTTTGTCGCCTGGAGATGGGGAAGCAAATAGCGTGTCGCGCTGAAGCGTGGTGGACCAGAACCGGCTTCGCGACACGCTAAGCCAAAGTTCCTGACCGTGTCCTCCATTGCTGCTGCAGGGTGCTGCCTGTGTATGGTCTGGACGGGCACCTTTGGCTGCGAAGGCTGCCAAGGAGGAACACGAGCAGGAAGCGGGAGAGCGCGCGCCCGATTTCGCCCCCGCCGCACAGAGCGAACGGGCGGCGCCAGGCGCGGCGCCGAGCCATGGCGGACTCGGTGCCCGCAGTGAAGCCTCACCGCAACCGCACCGCGTGCGCCAGCAAGGCCGAGATCGGCTACAAGTATACCGAGTCCGACCAGGAGCTCGAGACCTTTGCTGAACGCATCCTCTACCACGTGATGCGAGACCATACTGTGCCGCCACCCGGAGGGTTGCATACGCGACTCGGGAGCGCATCGAGACCAGCAGGGATGACCTCATCGACATTCTTCGCTGCCAGCCTGAGGAAGGACGCGCCAACGTTTCCTACCCACTGGCGCCGCCGACGACCCTCATGCAGGCTGCCGCGACGATGTGCTCGAAGATCGCCTCACTCCCAGACCCCCGACATCATGACTATTTCATGACGCCAGCCCCCAGAGGTCTGAATCGAATTCCTGGGACCAAATTTCCGTTCTGAATTGTTGTTTGACCGTCCCTAGGCCCAGTAACGGCCCCCAGTGGCCGAAAATAGTGAAAACCCGCCCGTCGATTTTTATACTCAGAAGTCGCCTCGCTCAAAGACGATGTGCACCGGTGCGGCCGAGCGCGGAGCTCGCCCATGCGGCACCCTGCTGGAGATCGCGGGCTGGCTGGAGGCGGCGGCAACCCAAAGCGCAGCCTGCGCGGTCCGCCCGGGTGCTCTCTCGGGTGGAGGCACGTCCGCTGAAAATCAGTCCCCGGACTCTTCTTATACACAGAAGGTATCTATACACCACCACCCCTGTCCAGGGCCATCCTCGGCCCTGGAATGGTGTATATGACTCCTGGCCGAGGCCAGAAGGGTCTATACACCATCGTGGAGCCTAGGGTGGCCCTGGCCGGGAACGGTGGTGGTGTATAGATGGCATCTGCGGATATTAGGGTGCATCCCCAGACCCCTTCGAGTCATGAGAAAATCACCACGACACGCTCTCACCGCGGGGCTGCTCCGTTGTTCAAAGCCGTGGAAGGCCTTGTGGCACGCTGCAAGTTCTGTGGCAAGTATCTTCGCATCCCGAATCTTCTCATCGGAGGTTGGGGGGTGAGATCGACAAGTGTTGCACTATTTTCGGCCTCCGGGGGCCCTTGCCGGGTCCTGGGACCGTCGAAGGGCGACTCGGGACGATGGGTCCTGACTCTCTAGGGGTCGACGCCGCTCGGACATCTGGGCCTGCCGCAATTGCTCACCCCAGATCCCTGTTCGACGGTCCCCGGGGCCCGACGACGGGCCCTCGGAGGCCGAAGGAGACACAACACCTCCTCGAGTAAGCAGAGCGATCGACAGGGGCACGCTGGCCGCAGTGCGGCGGCGGATGGCGGATGGCGGAGAACCGACAGGCAAGGGCAACTGGGCGCAGGTGCAGAGGCCTCTGCGAGGGGGGGGGGGGGGATCAGCCCGCGGAGCGGAGGCGCCAGGCGCAGAGCACGGAGCGGGGAGGAGCAGCAGCCTCCTCGAGAGCCCAGGAGCCTGGAACCTCGCCTCCCCTCTCCGAACCAGTGCTGGGCGCCGTCGCAGCCCGTCGTCGTCGTCATCGTCGTCGTCGTCGTTTTCCTCCTCCTCCTCCTCCTCCACCTCCTCCTCCTCTCCTCCCCTCCTCCTCCTCCTCCTCCTCCTCCTCCTCCTCCTCCTCCTCCTCCTCCTCCTCCTCCCCCTCCCCCTCCTCCTCCTCCTCATCTTCCTCCTCCTCCTCCTCCTCCTCCTCCTCCTCCTCCTCCTCCTCTTCCTCCCCCTCCCCCTCCCCCTCCTGAACCGCCCCCTTGGGCCCCTCTTGGGCCTCTCTTGGGCGTCTCGGGAATATCTGAGGCCGTCACGGGTGCCTCTTTGGCCGGCTTGGGGGAGCTCTTGGGGCGCTCTTTGGGCTCTCGTGGGGCGCTCTTGGGCCGTCTCGGGATGCTCTTGGGGCGCTCGTGGGCCAAAAGCGGGGGCCAAAAGATGATATATGTCAGTCGATATTCGAGCATAGGAAGATCAGACGTAGGGCAATAATGAAGCATGTCCCACCCGCAGGGAGCACCACAGGTAACCGTAAGTAGGCTGGAAAGGATGAGATGATAGGCAGGTGGATGCTGGTGGTCTTACCGTGACTACTAATCGGCTGACCACAACGGGGGCCCTAGGACCTACCCTGTGCCGAGGGCTATACTGGCTACTATAGCATCGCGTATGGCAAACGTAAGCCAGGCACATCGGGTTGCATGCTGGCGCAATTGGTTGGCTGGCCTTTGAACTCGCTGGTCCAAAGTCAAAGTAAGCTGGGCTATTGTAAATCATCCGTTCCACCACCATCCTCAGTCAACATCCAAACCACCTACAACTCCAGAAGAAGTACTTAATTTTAGCCAGGAGGCCCCGTCCTTAGAATCTGGTTGCTGCTGTGGAGGAATAAACCTTAAGAAGGTAGGACCCGCAATTCGGCAGAAAACAACGATCGGGGTAAGCGGCACAGAGAGCATGAGGAGTGTGCAGAAGTAATCTGCGGCAGCTGGGCAACACATATAACGAAGCATGCATCGGGAGATTCACTCTGGTTTACATGTGCGGTGCTAAGGGCGATGCGCCCTGTCTTGCACTCTGTGCCAACACTAAACGTGCTGTCTGCCAGCTATGAGCCCGTCCCCCTGTCCCTTCAAGAGAACCCCATCCATCCCACAGAGTAAGGTGGCCGGCTGCTGTGTAAACTTTGCGCAACCGCCATGCTGAGTGATCGGCGCTGTCGGCAGTGCAGGTATATCGTCGACAGAGCAAGTCATGGACTGCTGGCGTTGGGTAGGCAGCGACGGTGCATGTGCTATGCACGGGTGGCATGAGGTCCACAAGGTGGGGATGGCCCATGCACAGAGACCCGTGGTGGGAACAGCGTGAGATACGTGCTGCCCCTCCCCCCATCGTACGGTGCACCAGCCTTCCCAGAAAAAGGAAATCATCCAAGCCAAGTGGCTCCGTCATTCAAATTTGCCGCTACCGTCGAGACTCGTGCACCTTAACATAATGCATGCCAAGAGGTCGCACAAGCAACCGGAGTAAGTAGCACAGCGAGCTAACAGAGTATGCGAATCATCTCCTGTATAATGTTTTGGCCCCTCCGCGCCTCGAGCACCCCGCTTCCCGACACGTGGTGCGGCTTGGGCGGCAGCGCAGGTCTGTCTAAGCTGGGGAGAAGGAAGGACTGCTCGGGGAGCGTCGGTGCGTAGACGGTGCGGCGGCATGAGGTCCCCAAGGCATGCGGAGGGCCCATGACAGAGACCCGTGGGGGGGACAGCGTGAGCTACGTACTGCTTCCCCCAAATGAGATCGGGAAAGGGAGGCTTAAGAGCGAGGTGGTGCAGCTCAACCGTTGCACAGCATGTGGCCACTGGAGCACCTGTACCTCTCTCCCAGGTGTGCCCCGCAAGGCTGCCATGCTGGGTATGGGGCTGGTAGTGCCAGATGGGAATGTCAGGTCGCGCGCTGTCCTTGCTGTTGGTGCCCCAGGCGGATGTCGAGTACTTTGGTTTGGCCGTCGGCGGTGCTTTGCGTGGTGCTTGTAACTGTAGTTCAGTCTTGTGCCTCTGCGAGTCTGGTGTACTGTGTGTGCTGTTGCTGGTGCTCTCGTACTTTCTCGAGGTACTGTTCTGTCGGGGCTGGCTCGTCGTAGCTGCTGGCATTTCGTAGTGGGTGGTCACCTGTGGGTGCTGGGATCGATCCTGCTTGGCCGTCTTCCATGGGTGGTGGAGCTCTGGGTGGAAATTGTGCTGAGACGGTTGCTTGTGTCTGCCGTTCTCGCTGTGCCGGAGGTGTGTCCACTCGCCGGCCGCACTTGGGCGTCGAGGTGCCTGGCGGTGGGCGCACTACGGGAATGTTGAGCCCTGGTGGTAGTGGCTGCTTTTGGATGTAGGTTGTAGGACTCTCTGGGGCTCTGGGCTGGTCTGCAATTTGCGATGCGCTAGCTGCTGGCGTGTGGTGTGGAGTCGCTGTCTCAGGTGGAGCCGAGTCGTCGGTGTGGTGCGGTCCTTGGGCTGCCGTTGTAGCTGGGCCCTAATTTCTGGCGTTTGTGCTAGTCGAGACGTGGAGCTGCTCGTACCGTCTTAGGTGTTTGGTGCTGGTGCTTCGTAAGTACAGCTGATCTTATACACCATCGCTGCAGTCCTTGGGAGGTACTCTAACCAACCGCCTCCGAATATCGTGTAGAGCAATTGCGATACCTTCGCCAGTGCGGTGGTGCAACTACGGCTGGTATGGTCTCCATTTGAATACCATGCCGTGGCTGCACCGGTTGGCGAGTGCTGCGCCGATGCGAAACTCGTGTTCGTCCTGTGCCTAAACTCCATGTATTGAGGCGTGTCGCTGAGCCTCATTCTGTGCATCAGGTCGTATTTCGGAGGTGGTGGTAGTTATTCAATGTCGGTCCTCAGCGCGTTTTTGAATACGAGACACTGTACTGTAGGTCTGGTTGTAGGCATCTTGAAGTTCGAATCTGAGAAGTCATGTCGCACTGAGCGTAGCGGTGGGTGTGAAGGCACATATGGAAAGAGTGCGCTGGCGGGGCTTTCGCGGTTGAACTCGTCGAGGTGCATGTGTCACTTTTCGATGGGAAGGTAGTCGCGCTCCGTCTTTGTCGAGATGGCCGTGCCAGTAGTGCTGGTGCTACGTCACCTGAAGAGAAATGCACAGGAGGTAGACGAAACTGGGTGTAATAGGTATCAGAACAAAAAGGCATGGAATATCTAGGTGAGGGATGCAGGAAGCAGAGGTTCAGTACCCGATCTCGTGGCCTGCCGGCGCAATGCCACATACACACCTCAATCTCTTGGCGGTTGGTGACTTCCTCCGCCTCCTCCTCCTCCTCCTCCTCCTCCTCCTCCTCCTCCTCCTCCTCCTCCTCCTCCTCCTCCTCCTCCTCCTCCTCCTCCTCCCCCCGCGGGCGTGCCCGGTAGCTGCAGCCGGGGTTGGCGCACGCCACCTCCGCGCCCTTGCCCGAGCTGTCCACGCGCTGGCAGTTGTCGCCGTGGCCTCCCCTCCCCCGCCCGCTCGGAGCCGCCACGCCCTTGATCGATCGAGGATGGAGGAAGGAGGAAGGAGGGAGGAGGGAGGAGGAGGAATCCTCCTCCCCCTCCTCCTCCTCCTCCTCCTCCTCCTCCTCCTCCTCCTCCTCCTCCCTCCTCCTCCTCCTCCCTCCTCCCTCCTCCCTCCTCCTCCTCCTCCCTCCTCCTCCCTCCTCCCTCCTCCCTCCTCCCTCCTCCTCCTCCCTCCTCCCTCCTCCCTCCTTCCTCCTGGAGGATGGAGGAGAAAGAGAAGGAGAGGAGGCGGAACGTCGGGGAGGGGCAGGAGGTGGAAGGAGGAGGATCGAGGAGGAGCAGGATGCGAACACCGAAGAGGAGAAGTTGAGGGATGCAAGGATCCAGAATGAGGGTGATCGAGGGGAATGGCTGACAATTGAGGAAGCAGGAGGAGGAAAGATGAGGAGGGAGGAAAGGAGGAGGAGTAGAAGGAAGACCAGGGCGAACCCACAACGCATCAACGACGTTACAATACAGCCTCCCTCTCAAGTCCCTCTTCATAGGCCCCTACAAGAATGTGTGTTCAGTACGGTGAAAGGCCCCGTTGGCAGAGAAGCGCCTGAGATACCTCATTCGCGCTGGAATGCAATTGCTGGTACTTCAGCTCCGCGAACCAACGTGACTGTTACGTCTTGAATATCCTAGATCGCGCCAAAACAACATTCCTGGGACTTCAACAAAGCGCATCATTGTGACAGTTGCGTCCTAATGTCCCTAAATCGTGCTAGACCACAGTTCCTGGGACTTCAAACATATATTTTTTCGAACCAGTGCGAACTTTCGAGACGAATGTGTGCGGCGCTAAGGCAAGAGCCACACTTTCAAGACGAATGTGCGTTGCGCGCGTGGTTGGGGTGCTGCGGAGGCGTCGACCACCACCCTCAAGGCAACTCCGCTGGGTTCGAGGCTGGAATCTTCGACCACCCACCGAAGGGGGCCCCGCTTCTCCTGTTGAGTTATCGAGTTACTTCAGTTACCTTGGTTACGTTCACTTACCGCGTTACTTCAATTACTTCAGTTACGGTCAGTTACTTCTGTTACGTTCAGTTACGTTCAGTTACGTTCAGTTACTTCAGTTACTCCTTGACCCACCCGCGACCGCGCAGGGCCAGGACGCAAAGGCACCGGGTCCGCGAGGCCCAACCGGTGCGGAGGTATCGGCCGCCCTCTCCAACAAGGCTCCGTACTCTCCTCTCTGGCTCCAGCGGAGGAGCTCTGGGAATATCCAGCCACGCTGGAGATGCCGCGCGCCCTTTCCGCGACGCTGGAGTCGACGAGGCTGCCAGTGCCGGAGCTGCTGACACGCGGCGCTGACGGCCGCTGAGCCCGCGGCAGAAAGAGAAGATTTGGCGGACGACGCGCCCCGCAAGAAGGGGCGCTCTCCAGGAAGGAGCACCACCTGGAACGGCTCAAGAGCCGCCCGGAGGGATTCCTCGCGCAGCCTGTCGGGGGGGCTGGGCGCGCCGAGACTGCCTGCTGAAACTCGCCCGCGCCTGGCCCCAGCGCCCCCCGCCAAAATCGGGTCCTGGATCGCACTCCCAGCTGAGGCTTTCCCCCGACAGGTGAGATTACTCATCTCCTAACTGCGTTTTCCCTCGATCGACAAGAGAGAGCGCTGGTTCCACCGAAACTCCACCAGCCTGGCGGGATTCCTCGCGCACTCTCGCGAGGGGGCTGGGCCTGCTGAGCCTGCCTGCCGCAGCGCGCCCACGCCTGACCCTGGCGCCGCGAGCGAAGTCGGGCCCTGGATGAGAATCCGGACTGACCCCCACCCCGAACAAAACCAGAAGTGCGTCGCCGAGGTGCGCTTCCTCGGCGAGCAGCAACAACAGAAAAAAACGCGCCCCGCTCGGGCCGGCGCTGCCATCCGTGCGTCGGGGCCCCGCCGGACTTGTCCGCTGCCGGGCGCGGAGCGACCGTGGCGGCCACGAGGCGCCTGGGCTGCGCGATTCCCTGGGCCCCCCCCCCGTGCAAAAGACCGAGGCCCGCCCGAAAGGCGGGCGCCGCGACTGCTCGACCGCCCCCCCCCGCAAGGCCGCCAGCCGCCGGGGAGAAGGCTCCGCAGGCCGGCGCTCCTCGGCCCGCGAGGGGGCCCGAGCTCGGCGGTGCGGCGGGCCCTCGCCCGAGAACGCCGAGCCGAGCTGCCGCGGGCCCCCCCGGGCCGAGCGCGCTCTGCCGACTGCTCTGCCTCCGAGAGCCAGCGGCGGCCTCGAGGCAGCTTGCCGAGTCGGGGGGGCCAGCCGCCGAGCCGCCGGCGCCAACGCCACCCTCGACACCCTCTGGCTTTAAGTCGGGCCTGTCCCCCTGCAAGGGGATTTCCGACGAAAAATAAAAAATACCCCAAACATTACGCAACCGAGAAACCCCACATACTGATTTTATGCTGTGTGTGTTCATACACCATGCCCCATGCCACATCCTGCCCTTTCCGAAACTTCAGTGCGAATGTTCTTCAGGCTCCTCCTCCACGTTGGCGTCGAGGATGGATGAATGGATGAACGCACCCCCTGTGGTGTCGAGGAAATGCCACGCCTGCCACGCCTTGCAAGGCCGGGACGGATGGGGAGACCACCCCCAACGCACCCCCTGTGGTGTCGAGGAAGTGCCACGCCTACCACGCTTTGCGTCGGCCGAAAACGGATATGGAGACCACCCTCAGCGCACTCCCTGTGGTGTCCAGGAAGTGCCACGCCTGCCATGCTTTGCGAGCCCGACACGGATAGGGAGACCACCCCCAGCGCACCCCCTGTGGCGTCGAGGAAGTGCCACGTCTGCCACGCTTTGCGAGACCGAAACGGATAGGGACCCCCCCCGAGCGCTTCACGTGTGGTGGCGAGGAAGTGCCACGCCTACCACGCATGGCGAGGCCGAAACGGATAGGGAGACCGCCCCCAGCGCACCCTCTGTTGTGCCGAGGAGAAGCCACGCCTGGCACGCTTTGCGAGGCCAAAACGGATAGGCTGACCACCCCCAACGCACCCCCTTGTGGTGTCGAGGAGAAGCCACGCCTGACACGCTTTGCGAGTTCGAAACGGATAGGGAAACCACCCCCAGCACACCCTACCACGCATTGCGAGGCCGAAAGTGATAGGGAGACCACCACCAGCGCACCCCCGTGTGGTGTCGAGGAAGTGCCACGCCTGCCACGCTTTGCGAGACCGAAGCGGATAGGGAGACCACCCCCAGCGCACCCCCTGTGGTGTCCAGCCAGGAAGTGCCACGCCTGCCACGCTTTGCGAACCCGAAGATAGGAGACCACCCCCAGCGCTCCCCGTGTGGTGTCGAGGAAGTGCCACGCCTGCCACGCTTTGCGAGCCCGAAACGGATAGGAAGACCACCCCAGCGCACCCCCTGTGGTGTCGAGGAAGTGGAGGAGGGGAAGAGGAGGATTGGAGGAGAGGAATAGGGGGAGGGGAGGAGGGAGGTGAGGTGTGAGCGTCGCGTGTGCGACGCGGGAGGGAAGAAAACCAGAACCCCACTAAGCATGTGGGGAATAGTCCACAAATAATCAGAAAATCGTATGGGGACTATTTTTGGACCATGTCTTGGCCTTTCTGGGGTATGTTTGGGGTATTTTTACCTAACAGCTCTTGCTGATAGGTTTCTAGTGGTCTCAAAAGAGAACATCATGACTCCTCAGGGGGGTCTGGGCGGGACCCGGAAAGGCTGCCGCCGAAGCCGAAATCGCTTGGGACATCCTCGCAAAATCGCTCTTGGTGCTCCCAGAACTCCACTCCCAGGCCACATTTTGGATGCAACTGTAGGCCACTTCGTGCTCTTCGACTTCCCAGAACTCCATTCCCGGGCCACATTTTGGATGCCCGGAGCCAACTGTAGGCCACTTCGTGCTCTTCGATTTCCCAGAACTCCATTCCCGGGCCACATTTTGGATGCCCGGAGCCAACTGTAGGCCACTTCGTGCTCTTCAGGTTCCCAGAACTCCATTCCTGGGCATGGTTTTGAATGCCCGGAGCCAACTGTAGGCCAGGCTGAGGCAGGCTGAGGCTGAGGCTGAGGCAGGCTGAGGCTGAGGCCGAGGCTGAAGGCAGACTGAGGCTGAGGCTGAAGCAGGCTGAGGCTGAGGCTGAGGCAGGCTGAGGCTGAGGCAGGCTGAGGCTGAGGCTGAGAGGCTGAGGCTGAGGCAGGCTGAGGCTGAGGCTGAGGCTGATGCAGGCTGAGGCTGAGGCAGGCTGAGGCTGAGGCCGAGGCTGAAGGCAGACTGAGGCTGAGGCTGAAGCAGGCTGAGGCTGAGGCTGAGGCAGGCTGAGGCTGAGGGCTGAGGCTGAGGCTGAGGCAGGCTGAGGCTGAGGCTGTGACTGCGACTGCCGTTGCCGCTGCGACTGTCATCGCGAATGCGACTACGACTGCGAGAACAGCAGAATTCTACAACTGGATTTTCATCTGAATCTTAAGGGGAATGCTTTCAAATATGCTTCTACACATCGCTGTTAGGTTGCTTTGCCGGGATAATTCATTATTGTTCGTCGAAAATCCCCCTGAAGGCAGGGCTCAGGGCCCACCCGGGGCCCGCGGAGCCCTCGGAGGCCCCTGCCGGCGCCTCCTCCCCAGAGGGCCACCTCCTCCGCCCGTGCCCGGGGGCGCGCGGGCGGCCGCGGCCTCGCCCTGCGCGGCGGCGGCCGGGCCTCTCTCGGCCCGCCCCCTCCCCTGCAGATTCCTGCCTCGTCGAGGCCGCGCCCGCCGACGTCGAGCGGCGGGCCCTCGGGGCGGGCGGCTGCGAGGCGCTCCTGCCTGCCACCCCCGCGGGGGCGCCGAGAGGTCGATCGCCCACGCCCCCGCGGCAGCAGCCAGGGGGAGGGGCCCCGCCGCCGCCTGCGGCGCCCGAGACGACTGTGCGGGCGCAGGTCGCCTCCCGCTCCTCCTTGGCCTCCACGGCCGGGCGGGCTATTCTGGAGGGCGGGAAATCCACCCCGATAATAAGCACCCCGACGCGCG